ATATATATATATATATATATATATATATATATATAAGGTATTAGTATTATGAAGTTTGAAAGAGCGAAAGTGAAGCAGAGTTGGAAGATTGAATTTCGAAATTTTTGCGAAAAAATTAAATCCACGCTTCCTCTTTAATTTTTCTTACGATAATATGTACGTCGTTTCTTTAACGAGATTTTAATTATCGCGCAACAACGTTCTGGCCGCGCCCGACGACTACTAATCTCTATTGCTAGTCTTTCGTCTTCATTAACAAAAGCGGTGAAGCCGTGCGTCGTCGAGGATGCATATGAAGGGAAACGAAGAGAGAAGGAAGGTAGAGAGGACGGTGTACGAGCAGAACGAAGACAGAGGGGGAGAATGGAATGTCTTTTGCTAGGAGAGCACTTTATTTTCCAAATGGCTCCTCTCTCTCTATTCCCGGGTCAAAAAAGGTTGTGGCTAAAGCGAGAAAGTCAACCAGGGGCCATTGTTGCACACGGTTCGTCGATATTTCACCCACATCGCGCCCTCCTGGATTCAGGGCGAACCCGAGACTGGATTTTCAATCCGATACCGGATTTTGTTCTTCGAATTTATGCACATTCCACTATATGAAGTTGAAATCAAAAGAAACTCGAGGAACAGTTGGATGATTCCGTTAAAACATCTTTTGCCACGATTAAATAATTCTCAAATGCCTTAATGTATTCAACCCAAAAATCAAAAATTTACTTTTCTGGATCAACTGGATTATTCATCATTTTTATATTCAAACACTTAGAATTTTATTATTAACATCAAACGTTTAACAATGTCCACCACTTTATAAGCTACTTCAGCTTAAATTTCTAAATCTATCGGATCGAAGATAAAGACGATTCCATCTGTTAAATAATCCTCGGATTACAGAATTATATACTTAACTCAAAATCAAAAATTTGTTTCCCTTTGAAACAACTTCAAATCATCATCTGGATCAACTGGATTATTCATCATTTTTATATTCAAGAATTAGAATTTTATTATTATTAAGAATATTATTATTATTAAGAATTTTATTATTATTAATCAAACATTTAACAATGTTCACTTTATAAGCTACTTCAGCTTAAATTTCCAAAGCTATCAGATCGAAGATTCCATTAAAACGAACATCTGTTAAATAATCTCCGGATTACAAAATTAACCCTTAGATATACTTAACTCAAAATCAAAAATTTACTTTCCTTTTGAAACAATTTCAAATCATCATCTGGATCAACTGGATTATTTATTATTTTTATATTCAAACTTAGAATTTTATTATTAACATCAACGTTTAACAATGTCCACCACTTTATAAGTTACTTCAGCTTAAATTTCCAAAGCTATCAGATCGAAGATTCCATTAAAACGAACATCTGTTAAATAATCTCCGGATTACAAAATCAACCCTTATATATACTTAACTCAAAATCAAAAATTTACTTTCCCTTTGAAACAATTTCAAATTATTATCTGGATCAACTGGATTATTCATCATTTTTATATTCAAGAATTAGAATTTTATTATTATTAAGAATTTTATTATTATTAATCAAACATTTAACAATATCCACCACTTTATAAGCTACTACTTCAGCTTAAATTTCTAAAGCTATCAGATCGAAGATTCCATTAAAACGAACATCTGTTAAATAATCTCCGGATTACAAAATCAACCCTTATACATACTTAACTACAAAATCAAAAATTTGTTTCCCTTCGAAACAATTTTCAAAAATCCAGCTCGCGGATAACGCTTGAATTTCGAAATCCATCCCGAGGCCAGTTCCGTCGGGGGATCTTCCGATTCCGCGCAGTATCTTTCGAGGCGGGCGAAGAAGAGGAAACCGAGGCGGTAATCAATTGGACGTAGCTCTCCCAGGGAGGAGAGAGTGGAGCTAAGACTGGATGTAAATCATCCGGACAAAGCCGCTTAACGATCCGACAAAGGGCCCGCCGCGGTCCACGAATTATAGAATCGGGAATAATCGCGCTTTCTTCTCTCCTTTTTTTTTTTTTTTTTTTTTTTTCCAAGGATCCGTGCCAGTTTCACGGCCAGTAGAGGAGGACCGTTACGCTCGCGCGGCCGATCTTTCACCCCTCCTTCCTCTCCCTCGCCCCGTTGCGAAATTTATAGCCATTGGTAGCTTTGTCCTCTCGCGCATAGAACAAATCTCTCTCGCGCCCTCCTCCTCCTCTCCCTCCTCTCCCTCCTCTCCCTCCTCTCCCTTCCTCGTCGCGGATGAATCCGCCGATTTCGCGGCCCGCGCCCTCGACTCGAACCGAGTCGAATTCCTCGCACCTCGACACTGTCCCTCTTTCTTCGCGCGTCGGCCTATCTTTGCCGCTTTCGTTCATTTTCGTTCCTTTTCGGGAGCCTCGATTGTTGCGACCCCTTTGTTACGTGGATTTATTAGAATCGATCGGGGGGTGAATTATGATTAAGTTTCGAGCCGAGGCGAGGTGGTGGTTCAGGTTTTTTGGGAAATTATTATTAAGGCTCGCCGCTGGAACTGGATCATCGATGATTAATTTAATCGTCGATTTTATTACTAAAGATTAGAAATAATATAATGAAACTTGTCCATGTCATTCCGTACATTCGTTCCCGAAGAAAATTACATTATGCTTTTTTATTACAACGAAAAGTATTGTATTTATGAAGCTCGTATGCGTTTCTATACATCTATTCACGCTTTCCATTAATTTTACACGTTTCTTATTATGATGTAACTATATGTATTACATTCATATACTAACTAATATATATATCCCCTTCCCGTCCAAGTAGAGTCAACGTCGATCTGATTGGTGTTCCAGGTGGTGAGCTCGATGGACGCGATGAAGTATTCGATGGAGGCGGACAAGTATCGCGCCGCGTATATGCCACCTAGCACACTGACGATGAGCATGTACTCGGACCCGAAATACTTGGACTCGAGTCCCAAGTCGTATCTCGACCGCAGTTACCTCGACTCGGCGACCAAGGCCTACTTCGAGCAATCCAAGCTCTACATGGACCAGAAGCCTGCCATCGCCGATTACAACAGGCCCACTTACGAGCACAACAAGCTCTACGACGAGTCGAGCCCGGGCAGCGTGGTGGGCGGCGGCGGGCCGACGAGGTCGCCGGCCGCTGAATCGCCCGACGTGAGCAAACAGCACGAGAGGACCGAGCAGGGCTCGTCGAGCGCGAGCTCCACGTCCACGTCCTCGGCGGCGAGCCCCGGCGCTAGTAGTCTACCGGCCTATTACCCGGGCCCGGTGCAAACCGGGGGCATACTGGGCCCCCAGATGAGCCAGTACAGCGGCTACCAGACGGCGCCCGCGCCTGGAAACGAATCGTTCAGGCGACCGCTCACTGTCATCTTCTGACCCGATAGAACGTAGCTCTGATCCATCTTCGAGGAGCAATTGCCCTGATTTCGCTCCACTGGTGCTCGCGCGCGATGTGCTGGTGCTCGTGGTGGTGGTCGTGACGCAACGTTTCGTAGGTAAACGTATATATGTATATGTGTGTGTATAGGGATGTGTATCGGATGCGTGCGGGCTAGGATGGGGATTTCTCGTTCTTGGAAATTTGCTTTTGCAGGGAGATGATGCAATTGATTCTTTCGAGCTTTGATCTCTACGATACGTCTTCTTATTTTATATTATACATTGTAATTGGATTAGACATATTCGCTTCGATGATAAAGATACTCGTTGAGTATCCGAGAGTTATTGTATATTATAATTTAGTATTCTTAATTCAGAATATATTTCTTTCTTAAAGATAATTTTCCGCGATCGAAATCTTGTCATACGACATCGATTCCTGTGGTTGTCACACTTGCAATTTCGAATTCTGATTTCTTTAATTAAGGAAAATTAAAAAAGTTTGACGTAATTATGATATATCATTGATTACATTAGTTATGTATCTATTAGTCTTGGAAGCGTAAAATCGCGATAGATTTAATTTGTTTCTTTTGTTTTTTTAATCTCTCTTTATAATATTCGAATTATTTGAGTTATTCAAATCAATTAAATAATTCGAATTATGACTCTATTGGTCACTTAATGAAATTAAAATTAAGTGGTAATTATACGTTTAAAGGAAAAAGTGTTCTTTTGTTTGAAAAATTTGAAATGTTTCATTCTGTATTTTCTTTTATGAGTAATCATAAGTATATAAGTTTATATCATATATTTAATCGTTTAAAAAAAATATAAAAATTTAACACATATAATTTTATATGCTTGACCGTTTGAAAAAGTAACATCTTTATCTATGATCTATAAATTTAATACAACGAACATTGAAAAAGTTTTATTAGAATTCTTTGATTTATTTAATTCTTTTTTTTATTCATCAAATTATAAATAAATTATAAATAATTTATTTATATTTCGATGAAACAGAAAAAAGAATTACATGAATTAATCTAGGAAAATGAAATAATAGATGATATAGATTAAAATATTTGTTTAATATTGTGTTAAATTTTCAACACAGAAATCGCAATTTTATCTGTTGAATTATTTTTTATCGATTTCGATATGAAAGAGGCGCAAACAACTTTTCCTTTCAACGATAAATAAAAATCAAATTTTGATCGATGAAAAAAAGAAAAAAAATATAACAATCACATTTCTAATCTCTATGGAAATTTAAAAGCGAATCATCGATTAAATTTACGTTTCATAAATTCCAAGAACGAGATCTCCGAGTTGGCGCGAACAGACGTGTCGTTAAGAACAGATCCTCTTCCTTTGGATCCGAAAAACGAAATTCAATTCGGGCCACCACGAATAGATCCACCTGTAGATCGAAACCAGGACCGTCAACGATATCGGGAATCGTTGAAAGCAACAACGAAAGTCGATACTCTCCGTGTTCTAGCCATCCCCATTCGTCGAGTTTCGACGCGTGACGATTATTTATCTCGGATAAATAGGGTTCTTCTTCCATTCTCGAGGTGGAAATTATAAAGAAAAATTGTACATAGCTCCCGTGTAAATAGCGTAGCAAGGATTATTATATCGCGCACGACGCTCGAAAACGGTTTTCCTTCCACACCTTTCACACCTTGTGTTTCCTTTTCACTCGCAGCCAACCTTCGAAATTCACAGTAGACCGCGGAATTTATTAAGAGATCGAAGTAATGAAAATTTCGGGGAAATAAGTGCACGATGAAATAACTTGGATGCAAAGTGTTTTTCTTTTTTTCACGATATCTCTACGAGGGTGAGAACGGATTAATTTTTTTTTATTTATATATTTTTTTTTCCCCTTCGTTCGTGTCGAATTTTGTTGAATTATGAAAATTTCGTATCGCATAAATGACTTTGTCCGCGGTCTATCCGTCGGAATTCTCGACGACGATCGAGATTTTAGAAGTTTACAGTTTATATGCACACACGTATTATGTAATTGAAACGATTCACCCCCTTTTCACGATTCGATCAATTAACCGAATCGAGTTATTCTAATGAACGGTAGTGTTAGATTGCTAATCCTACGGTGTTTCGTTTCGAACGAATATATTAGATTGGTGGGTGTGAAGTTTTCTTCTTCTTCTTCTTTTTTTCTTTTTTAATTTTGTCTTGTCGATCGATCATTAAAGAGGGGGAAATTTATTACAAATTATTTATATTGAACATTGCGACTCGTCAGAAATGATCAGGATATTCTTATGCAAATATTTATCTTTTATATAAAAGATTAAGCTTTTCAATATTGTTATTCTAAATTTTTAATTTCAACTTGACTTCTGCCAGAAACGAGCAAGATATTCTTTTATCCTTAAATTTATATTAATTTTGACTTAAAAGAAAAAAACGTAAAAAATTTTTTATACAAACTTTATATACACTTTGTCTATATAATTCTTTTTTCTTTTTTTTCCAATAATAATTCGCGTTTCAAAATAACTTAGAAACTTAGAATAGATTGTAAATACCGTGTGAAAAAAATTCAATAAATTCCTATCGACAAGCAGAATTTGGAAATTAATTGCAAACAATATAAAAATCTTTTCTAGAAAAAAATTTCTTTTATCCAAGAGATATTTCGTACACGCCAATCTAATAATACGGACACAGATCGGGATAAGAGTTTCGTGCAGCGGAACAGCCAAAAGGAGAACGTGTTTTTCGCGCGGTCGTTTGATTCGTAATCACTGTACATAGATCCCTTTGATTCGTCGAAAGAATACGTCGTCGTCGTCGTCGTCGTCATCGTCGTCGTCGCGTTCCCCTTTCCAAACATTTTCTCGTTTCGTTCCATCCTTTTTAATCGAGGGAAAAAGTGGAGAAAGGGGAAAAAAATTTCTTCCTTTTCTTCGTCGTTTAGTATATTTAAAAGATTAAGAGACACGGCATGTGATGAAATTCTTCGTTAATTAATCGAATAAACGCTCGGTCAAACGATACTTCCGTTTCGATTTCTTTTCTTTTTTTTTTTTTTTTAAACTATTTATTACTCAAGAGAATTGTATTATTATTATTATTATTATTATTATTATTATTATTATTATTATTATTATTATTATTGTCACAATTATTATTATTATTGTCACAATTATTATTATTATTTTTTTTTTTTACTTGAATTAGAAACGTGAAGTTGAAGAAAGAAAACGTGCAAACGAAATTTGATAACCGGTGATCAAAGGAAAAAAAAATACTTAGAAAAATTTTTTTCAAACAATCGTGCCAGAAAATCTGTCAAGTATTGTTCTTCCTTATCTCCTCTGTCTATTACTATTATTATTATTATTATTATCATCATCATCATCGTTATTATTATCATTATTTGTTTTCATTTTTCGTTTGTTCTTCCGCGAAGAAAATGCTTGCAAAATACTTTCTCGAGTTCGAGTTTTTTTTTTTTTCAATTCATTTCTTGTTTCATTTTCGTCTAACTCACGTGCACGTTCGATCGAATGATTTCACGGGAGAAGGAGCAAGAGTGTTTGTGTGTGTGAGAGAGGGAGAGAGAGAGAGAGGAAGGGAGAGAGAGAGAGAGGAAGGGAGAGATAGAGAGAAAGAGAGAAAGAGAGAGAGAACTTTTGTAGACGTTTCGCGAGAGATGGAATAGAGATGATAGGGGGGGGGGGGGAAGGGGAAATGAAAGAATAATAGAAATGAGATAAACGCTTTCGTGAAACGTCCAACGACCCGCTGTAATCTTTGTACTTGTATCGTTACGATAAACCTCTTAAACTGTACCGATTATTCAAGTATTACGACTTTAAAGCGGCAGAAATAATCTATAAATATTGTATTGTAAGTGAAAAAAGCAAAATAAACGTTAAGTATTATCCTTGGAAGATTGATCGTGTAATGTATATGGATATCACATCGATCGTTATTTTCTTCCTAACTAATTTCTCTATTTTCATTTTTCTCCCCTTTCTTAATTTTATCGATCACACTCATTTTTCCTATTTTTTTTCTTTTTCTATTTCTAGTTCGATTTGGAATCTTCCTTATACTCTCCATTTGTTTCATTCTTCAATATAATCAAGAGTTTCAAATTGGGAAATTGGAAAAGTTGAAATTTCGGGACAAAGATCGATTACAAGGAAGGCAAAGTTGCAGGAACAAAGGTGTATGATAAAAATTGAAAAATTCTCATTATGAGAAAGTTTCGAATGGGATTTCCATTCGAGGAGACGACGAGATTACGAAATTTTCGCGTCCCATAATGGGTATATCGATTCAATGGATCCAATGGATCCCCGGAAAACACCTCGTTTCGCCTCCTTTCGATTCAATGCGTCGAACAATGGGGGAGATTTGGTCGCGAAAAATCCAAGGATCCGCCTTTTGAAAAGCCTGGAAAATCCCCGAAAACAAAGGGCCACGACCAAGTAGCTCGTCGTCTATCGAAATTCGACACGCGGTTGGCCGAGGTGCGATGGAAAACGATGGAAGAACGGTTTCATTGTCGAAGTTCGACAGCTGCGGATCGCCGAGAATTCGAAGATCTCGAGCCCATTCATGCGGCTCGCACCTCTGGCGACACCCCTGAAACCTCGTGGAAAACACCTCTCGTCTCCACCACACGTCGGGCTGAGAACGTGATCGTTTCGATCTACGATAAAAGAAACGTCCAATTCCTGGGAAACTTTCCTATGCGAAATCGTCTAATGTGAAATTTTCAACAGGATAAAAATTAATCTTAAAAATCTTGCATCCTTTTTTTATAGATTTTAATCCGAATAATATCATCGAATCGGGTGTAAGATTTTGGGAAACCGCCATTTAGAAATAAAATTTTTGGGATAATATTCGAATCGGATTTGTTTATTTAAAATTCAGAGAGAAGTTGTTGAGGCGATACACGAAAGTTTACACGAAGAAAGAAAGAAAATTCGTCAAATCAAATAATTACAGAATCCATTCCATTCACCTCGCCGAGGTGATTGAAGCCGCGTTCTTCGCTCGTGTCACAGAGATAAAAACGAAGCGGATTGAAAGGACGGGTACATTCTTCGTCGGAAGAGGAAGAAGAAACGTGACCAGTAGCATCTCCTCAACGAGAATAATAATAATAATTACCAATTCTTAGCACTCGCATCTGACAATTTGCTTCCACCTTCATTATCCCCTCGAATATCCGCCATTGTTTCTGCCCTCCTCGGAGATAGACCCATTATGCGACCTGTTTACGCGGCCGCAAAGGACACGCGGCCCTCGAAGAAGGAGGAGGAGGAGGAGGAGGAACGACGATTTGAGAGGTGGCTACCTTCTCATTAAATCCATTATAGCGGGTGAGCAGCGATGAACTCGAGGCGGAGCCCACGACTGACGGGCCCTCACCTCGGTTAGACAGATCGTTTAGGTGGAATCTAAATCATCCGCAAAGGCCGCCCGCCCC